CCCCCCTTGAGGGAGGAGGGTGCAGGGGAGACTCAGAAAGGGGTGGCAGTGGGGCTGGGGGTGGCGGCACCGCAATACTGTTCATTGTGACTTCTCGAGAGTTGGTTTCTTTCCAGTTGTTCACATCTCAGCATGTGGAATTATTGTGCTTTCTCCCGATTTGCCACAGGATTGGCAGCAGGCTGACATTGTTAGTCATTTGAATTGTATTTGGATCTGGGCTGATTCTCCCCCCCCATGTATTTATTAATTTCAAACAAATTCCTTTTATTTTGAAAATATGCACCATATATTTTATAGCCTCTAAAAATGAAAAAAAGGGAGGGGAGAGGACTGTGGCAAGCCTGTCCCCCGAACCGTCCCGTTATTCCCCTCCCCGTACAATCTTTTTCAGTTGTCTCCTGAAGACCCCCCTCCCTCCCATAGGAGGGAGTGGCCTTAGGGATCAAGGTACGTTGTTTTTTTTTTTTTTTTTTTGGAGTTTGTATGTTACTTTATTAATAGCACGGGGCAGGAGAGAGGCAGTAGGGTGGGGAGAAGAGGGGAGGAGGTGGCAGCAGGTGGAGAGAGAGGAAAGAATTATCCTCGAAGTACTGTACCTTGAAATAACTCAAGGGAAAATAGTTGCTGCCTCACTTGAATCGCTTTCAAAAATCTTGCTGTGCGCTTTTACTTTTTCTTTTACTTCTGTTTTTTTTTTTTTTTTAAAAAGCTTTCTGAGGGGAGGGGGCAGGGAAAAAAAAAAAAGAAGAAAAAGAAACTAAGCCAAAAAAATTTTGAAGGCTTGATCTTGGCTTCTATACAAACAGATGTTGCCTGTCATTCCGTTGTTAAGCAGGCAGCAGATTGGAGCAAGCAGCAGCAGTTTAGGGGGAACTGCAGCAGCAGAACTGGAAAGTGGGAGATATAGATATATAGATATGTTTTTTTTTGTTTGTTCTGCTCATAAATATTTTTTCCCCGGAATTATCTTTAATTACGACATGTCTCTCTTCTTTTTTTTTTTTTTTAATTTTTTTTTTTTAGTGGGCAAAACAAATCCAAAACAAAATGGAAAAGCACTAGGAACTCTCACCCAAATTTTACCAAAGCAGCTTCTTTGGGTTTGCTTTTGAGAGCTTTTCAGTTTGCTTTTTTGTTCTTTTTCGTATAGGCGAACATGTATAGGAAAGGGGGTTCTATTGGAAATGTTTAAGGCATTCTCGGTAAGTGAATGTTTGCAATGAATTAGGTCAGGGATTCTGTTGGTTTTTCTTGCTGCTAGCCCTGTTTCGGTTGGGTTTGCCCCGGAGTTCTTGCTGTATGTAGAATTGTGAAGGTTGAAGGCCTTTCTGTCTCCTTTCCAAGTTTTAGCAACATCGTAAGAACAAGAATCACGTTGTTTATACAGTAGAAGTTCTAACGAAGCACCGATCCGCTCCATATCGTGGCTCTTTTGTGTTCTGCATGTGCTTGTGGGTTTAATCCCGCTGGTGGTTTTTTTTTTTTTTATGCTTTTGGGTTTTATTTCCCCCTTTGTTTTGATTTTATGCTTTCTAATTTAGTCGTAGGGTACTTGGGAGGGGAAAGAAAATAGCAAAACATGGGGAGTTTTGAGCCGAAAGAGTTAAAAGTTTCTTGGCACAAGAGCAGCAGTTTAGCACCAGATCAATTCATTTAAATGAAAGAAATCACAGACCAAGCCATCTGATTTTGAAATTTCACATCTTATGCTTCCACTTTAGAACAAAGCTTCTGTTTTTCTTTCCCCCTTATTAATTCATTCTGCTTTTGTTGAACACTGTTGGTTTGCACAGAAACTTTGAGTTGTCTGTAGTCTGTCTCTTTTTCTCTTAAAATACGAATATACGGGGGTGTATTCATCTTCCGCTAGTTGCAGTTAGTTCTGCTGTAAAGTCAGCCGTAAACCTCTGCACATACAACAGCTGGTGTCAGAGCTGTTTTCACCCTCGGTTGTTGTCTGTTTGAAACAGCTTCCATTTTCTGACTCGCAGACTGTATGACAGTCACCTATGTACTGTGAAAGATAGCCATCGCCGGCCGTGCTGCCTGTCCTGCGTGCGTTTTGTGTGCGGGTAGGTCTGGCTGCGTCGGTGACTCGGGGAGCAGCGTCCGAGGGTGAGGATTTTCTTTGCACAGATAGGTAGCGTATGTCCCTCCAACATCTGTGTCAAGCAGCGGTTGTGCAGGCGGACTGTGCCTGCGTCTGAATGTGCTCCCACAGATGGGAGGGTTATATCCTGCTCTGCTTTATCGCGTATATTCGGCATAATCCATCGTATCGCTTTTATGACTAGTTGAAGTCCGAAAAGGATCACAGACAACTTTTTGATGTTGTTGTTGTTTGTTCGTTTAAGCGCGTTTGAGCTTTGGTACTGGTCCCGGTATTTTTGTGGCTACATCAAGTAAAATAAAATAAATCAAAAAATATACGCAAGTGGTTTTTTTTTTTTTTTAAATTTATTCCCA